TTGAGGTGAGATCGGGCATCTGCTGGAGGTTTTGATAACATCTCAGCTTCGGAGTAATCTCACAGACTTTCTTCTTTCTTTCACAGATATTTAAACTGATGGGGAAAAGAGTGTCAATAAACCAAGTTCACTACTGTCTAAAGTCTCTCTAGGAAGTTCTGTGTTTTGATGCTTTGTCTGGAAAATGCTGAGGGTTCCTGTTCATGAATCATTGAACTTCCAGCCACGGCTTGACACCTGACCCCGAGAGATCTGAAATCAAATATACCTGGCGTTAAAACATCTCTGGCCCTGGATGAGTCTGAACTTCTGCCATGGGAATTGCTGGTACCCTGTTCCAGAAGCACATTGGAATCACAGAATGGTTTAGATTGGAAGGGACCTTAAGGATCATCCAGTTCCATCCCCCCAAAATGGACAGGGACATCTTCCACTAGACTAGGTTGCTCTACATCCCATCCAGCCTGGTCTTGAGCACTTCCAGTGATGAAGCATCCACAGCTTCTCTGTGCAGAAGCCCTCAGTCCTTGGCAGAAGGCAGAGGTGTTCCTTAGTGTATTGTGATACCTGCACAGCATCAGATTCTTGTTCCATCACCTCAAAAACAAAACCCTGATGACAATACTGTATTTTTTTTTTTTCACTTTTCACTCCAGATGAAGTTCTGGTGGTGAGTGTTAGAGCTGAGCTCAATAGAGGAGTTTTGACTTCTTCCTTATGACCTAGCTGTGGTTACTATGGGACAGGCATTGTGTCAGGGGAGGGTGTGTGATGAGATGGATGTTTCAGCCACTGTGATGAAATTAGCAAGCACCTTTCTGGAGGCAAATAGAGGTAAAGCCACACTGGCTATAAGGGCAGTTGGGGCAGTGCAGAAATGCTCTTCTATTATCAGAAACACAGGACTGTGTTTCTAGCTCCAAGATATTTGGTCTGAAGAGCAGAAGCACTACTCTTCCTTGATGATGGGCTGTTCCTCCTCCAGCACAGATTGTATTGTGTGCTCAGGCAAAAACACCTTCGGTTCCTGTACAGAAGGACAAAAGCAACAGTATGGTGGCTTCCTGCAGCCTGGGAAGGCTACCTGCAGTTTCCTAAAAGCATTCCATTTTTTCTGTTTCTCTGTTACATCTGTAACAATAAAAAATTATTTGTTTTGGAAAAAGGTTGATTACTTCACATATTCTTCAGATGGCCTTGAAAGGCAAGTGCCCTATGGATTCTGTATGGCTTCTCCACCTACTGAAGTCTGTTGCATCTCCCTTTTGTCCTCTGCAGCTGTTGGTCTCTTCTCCCTTGGAATAGGACAAAAGAAAACAACCTCAGGATGTGCCAAAGGAAGTTTAAATTGGATATCAGAGATTTTTTTTTTTTTTCCCAAAGTGTTGTCCAGCCCTGGCACAGGCTGCCCAGGGCAGTGGTGGAGTCCCCTTTCCTGGAGGGGTTTAACAGATGTG